ACACTTCATCAAAGCTAAAAAAACAAACAAACACTTCTATATCCAATTAGAAACCTTAACTGTTATTTAAGCTTTTAAAAAATAGTTATTTTTTTTGTCAGGCAGCGGTGGCTCATGCTTTTAATCCCAGCACTCAGGAGGCAGAGGCAGGTGAATCTCTTTGAGTTCGAGCCCAGCCTGGTCGACAAAAGCTAGTTCTAGGACAGGTTCCAAAGCTACAGGAAAACCATCTTGAAAAACAAACAAAAAAAATATTTTTTTAGCTGTGTGGTGGTGGCCCAGGCCTTTAATCCCAGCACTTGGGAGCCAGAGGCAGGCAAATCTCTGTGAGTTTGAGGCCAGCCTGGCCTATAGAGTGAGTTGCAGCACAGTCAGGGCTATATAGAGAAACCCTGTCTTGAAAAAAATTCTCATCTTTCAAGAGTATATATTGAATTAAATATATATATTTAAATGGAATATAATGTCTAGGGCTTTCTTCAAACTAATCTACTATACGAGGGTTGCTGAGGGTGGGTAATGAATTTATTTGGAGCAGGATCATATTCTACTTGAAATCCATAACAAAGTAAAAGAGAATGTCTGTATTAGTTAATAAACACCCTTTTAATAATTACTACATTTCCCTTTATGAACAAAATCAGCTCCCTTCCAATGAAAATTAAGGATGTAAACTAGAATTTCTTCTACTGTTCTTAATTATTAGGCCAAGCTTTCCTTACTGCATTCCTCCAGGGCAAGACCTAAAGGTATACACACTAGGGGCTGTTCTGGGGGTTCCATCCACACCCACAATGCTTGTGATGGCTGTTCTTGGTTGTCAACTTGACTACATGCTAAAACACATCACCGAGAAGCCCAGAAGTTCAGGATTTCTCTTCCCTTTGCACCGTATAGCAAGGTGCTTCAAATCACTAGTCACAATGCCTCTTGGATCATACAATCTCCTCCCCATTCCACTTACACCACAGCCCGAGGGTAGGAGAGTTGCCACAGTCGGGTCAGTAGTCCCAGGCCAGTCAGAGCCACCAAGTTCAAGTTGATGTCAGCAGTCACCACTAGAGGCTGCTTCAAAAATCTCAACATTTTGCAGAAAAGCAAGCTCGGGGGGACACCCTGGCAAAGAGAACTCCGATTAAAAGTAAATGGACAGCAGGCTGGAAAGGCTCAAAAGAGACGAAAAGGATCCGCAATGCACCTAGAGAGAATTACTGCATGGGTTATTCAAACCAGGGCTCTTCTAGAACATGCCTTTTGGAGGACTCAAGCACAGGGTCCACATAAAGGCATTTGTGGGATCAATTCAGGAAACTCAGAACTGGACACTCACTCATTTCTATAAGTCATTCCATAAATACCTGCTGGGCACTAGCTAGGAGCGAGGCTGCTAATGAATGATGTGGCCCTCCTGTCATTTCCCAGTGTAAATGCAAACTAACCCCTACTTTGGGGAGCTCTGGGTACCGTCATAACCCAGTGACCTGGATGGACCTTCCCGTCCTCTCCCGGGGCATTCCTCTCCTAGTTGCACGTGCCCCGAGCCCCTTTTTTCTCTACAGCCCTGTTCATCCGGAGGCCGCCCTGGAACCGCCCTTGCTGCGCCGGAACACCCACCGACACTAGCGCCCCTGAGCCGGACCCCTGAGCCCCAGCAGAGCTCTCGAATCTGGCACTCCAAAACCTACTAGCGTTTCTGCGTGTCCCGCAAAGTGGCTCCCCATCTGGGGCCACGTCTGCGAACCGCCTGGCAGGCTCGACCGTTGGGGCTGAGGCCGCTCGACAATCCTTACCGCCCACCGATCGACGCTCAACTAGTCGTTCCTGCGCGGCCCGAGGCACTCAGCAGCGCGCGTGCGCAGCAAGAGCTCAGGGCTAGGGGCGCGCGTGAGCGGGAGTTCAACCGTCTTGCGGCTGGAATACGGCGATTATCACCGCGACGTCTGAGTACTCCAACAGCGTTTTTGCTTTTTAAAGCAGTGTTCTTTCTCCCACGAGCTCATCACGTGCTTGGAGCTCCCCGTTTCGGGTCTCGAGCGGACCCCAGCGCTCTCCTCTCACCCCCCCCGCCCCCCCCCGTCTCAGATTCACTCAAGTAGCCGAGGATGGCCTCGAGTGTCTGTTTCTGCTGCCTCTGCCTGTCTTCTCCAGCGTAGGTATTACAAGCATGTCTTTTTAGGTGGGTTCTCGAGGTTAAATTCAGGTCCTCATGCTTAGCTGGCAGGCCCTGCCTTTACCGAGTGAAGTGTCTCTCCAGATCTTTAATCATGCTTTTGTTTTGTCAATATTTATTTATTTATTTATACAAGTTAGTTCTTCTATGGAGGATATCCAGACTGTAGCATGCCTGAGAGACTGTTCAGTGGTTAAAAACACTTTCTCTTGAAGAGGACCTGGGTTCGATCCTCAGCACCCACGTGACCGTTCACAACTATTCGTAACTGTAGTTCTAGGGAATCAGGGGATGGGCTCTTCAGGCACCAGGGAGGCAAGTAGTATGCAGACACACATAAGGGTTATATAAGGAAGAATGTAAGAGCTGGGAGGTGGTGGCGTACACCTTTAATTCCAGCACTCAGGAGGCAGAGGCAGGCGGATCTCTGAGTTTGAGGCTAGCCTGGTCTCAGAGCGAGTTCTAGGGCAGCACAGAGAAACCCTGTCTTGGAAAACCATTTTTTAAAACAATGTAGGGAAAGTTTGTTTCTATCTTTTCCATGAGAACATGGACTACCCAAGATCCTGCAGAGAAAGGGCACTGGGACTTTGGAGAGAGCCCTCTGGGCCCGGGGAGGTTTAGTTTGAGCATGTAAGCTATACTGGTGCTTCACGGCAGCCTGTAGGCACAGTCTTAGGAGGACCTTATCCTGCCTGCAGGAAACCTGAGCAGTGGACTTGGCTGTAGTTACTACTGCCCAGATGCCTGTCAGTTCTGTAGCAAGTGACTTAGGAGTCTGAAGGATTGGATTCCTCATGCCAACTGCTTTTATTTTTCTTTCTTTTTGAGACAAAGTCTCTCTCTCTCTCTCTCTCTCTCTCTCTCTCTCTCTCTCTCTCTCT